ACCCAAAGCTCTTGACCATAGATGAGGGTAGGAACGTAGATCGACCGGTAAATCGAGAGCTTCGCTTTCTGACTCAGCAGACGCTGCGCCAATCCGCCTGTCGATCTCCCGCTCCGTTCTTCCCCCATTCGTGAACAAGATCCCCAGATACTTAAACTCCTCCACTTGAGACAGGGCGACCCCCCTGACCCGGAGAAGGCACTCTRCCCTTTTCCGGCTCAAGACCATGGCCTCGGATTTGGAGGCACTAAGCCTCATCCCGACCGCTTCGCACTCGGCCGCGAACCGCTCCAGCGAGAGCTGCAGATCTCGTTCCGAACTTCCCTCATACGTCAGATAATCACATGATTTTGGTGATATTTTGTATGGTTTGAAATGTTCTTTTGGAATCTGCTGTCAGATTTAATATTGGTGTAGGATTAAAAATGTATCCACATCCCTACACTATGCATATAAAAACTAGGTCTTGCTATTAGATCATTCTGATTTAAAGCATCATTGTATGCAAAAAAATAATTGTTGAGATACTTATTGCAGTCAAACAAAAATAAGGAAAATAGCAATAAAGAACTCTTTTTAAATCTTTATATTCAAATAAAATTTTCCTATGTTTTAGTAGTGTTTTGATTACAATAAAAACTTCAAATAAAAAGTATTTTGACTTATTAAACAAGCTGATGAAGTACTCTACCTTGTCAGCTATGACATCGAGGTGTCCAGAGTACTCGGCCCCATCCTCTCCTCTCCGCTGAGGACCATCGTGGATCCGGACGGCCCAGGACTGACCTGGCCTGCAGGAGGGCTCCGACCAAGGTAAGGAGTGAGACGTGGATGTGAAGTGAAGAGAGGGATTGCGAGAGGGCAGAAAGCTAAAAAGCAAGAGGGCTAGAGAGGACAGACATATAAGGAGGAGAAACGTGGGGAAATATGGCGCTGCCATGGCAAGGAGGGGTCACACAACAGGCCGACCAGACGAGGCCTCTTCATCTGAGCAGCAACCTGGTCATCGGCCAAGGACACACACACAGAGACAAGAGGAGGACAATCAGAGAATGAGCAGCTGGTTGTTTCACATCTGCTCGCTGCATTCAGAGGCAGCTTCTCAAAACCCCAGCCTCACACACTGCGACCATCGTTCCCAAGATTTTACATGACTGCGCTTAGTGGGACACTGTGAAAATCCTTTCACACTTCGATGCAACAATATTAAAACTGTTAGAGGAAAACAATTACTTTAAAATATTACAGTAGATGTGGTTTTACAGGCAAATATAAACAATGCATAACAAATAGTTTCACACGAAAAGGCACAGCAGCTTATTTGTGTTCAACAATGTTTCACCAACCCGGAAAATAAACACTACTACTGCAGGAAAAATAAAAAACTATGTGGCATTGTATTTTGTAGGCTTTGTCACAGACTCTAAACAACAACAAAAAAGCTTTTTCTGGAAGTTAAATTGTCCCAGCCAGCAGCTGACCACATTGTTAAAGGTTAGAAACTCATTTTATTGTACGAACACAATAACAGCTCGAATTCAGAACGGCTGACTGAGTTAAAATAGCTGAATTATTGTTTAAATGCGCTTGCTTCACAAACAGCTGCGTTTTTGTCGCTCCCTCACGTGACGTTAGCTGTCAGTTTTGTTATGGTTTACTTTATATGTAGCATGCAAGCTAGCTTAATTGGACGATGTTTTGGCATTTAAACAACCCCGTCTAAATGACCTAAACCTTAACATGTAGGCTGAAAAACTAGTCGCTTTACATTAACTACGAGTACAGACGGACAACCGAAAGAATCAGAAGTAGGGCTCGAGTTTCACCGCAGCGTTGTTGAAGCTAGTCGTGTGTCCGGTAACGACTCACTAAGATCATTTGTTAAAAAAAAAAAAAGACAAGGTCGAACGATATGAATTTATATATAAAATAAACAACATAAAATAAAATTACCTTTCCACTGAAATATGGTTTTCTCACGGTTGGTAATAAGTAAATATAACCAGTAACATCTCCAGAGCTTCCTTATTTCCGTGAAACACGAGCGCTCATGCATAGATATATACATACTAGATACCGCACGGCGGGCAGAATGGCATCGTGCGGCGCCGCCATATTGGATGGGGGTCACTTCACTCTAGGCAGCACTGGAACAAGACGCTGCCCTTATTTGGTGCATTAGTCTGTGACGTTTTGAAAGCAGATCACATGTGATAACCTTTTTATAAGTAAGACTGAACAATAGTTTTGATTATTTAATATTTATACTATTTTTTTTATCATTGTAACTCGTGTTATTTGGCAATCAACAAAATAACAGCAGGGACTGGTTCTCTTTATCTCTTTCTGGTCTTTTTTCTTCACATAGACCTCCTAGTTACACAGACTGAGAATTTCTAATCAGAACAGAGGGTTTTGCTCATTCAAAGTCTGAAGAGAGCACTTCAAGACAAAAGACTGACAGGACGGCTCACATTGTCAGGATTAGAGGTGATGTTAAAATGTAAATAATGCTTTAGTATATACATACTGTGATTTCAGCACCTGCATCCACACAGTAAAGAAAGGTTGTGTCGCTATTTTAGTATATTTGTTATTTTATGGGTTTGTTTTTTGTAAATGTACAAATTTCATTAATCTAATTTAAATAATTTAGCATTTAAGTACTTAGGCAGTTTAATCAAACAATTTTGCATAATTTCATATAAGGGTAATTATTTAGAGCGCACACATATAGTTAACATTGTATAATAGTTTATTTTATCATTTGCAAAATTTGAACTTTTTGTTTTCTTGAGTTGTCAGTTCCTTTAGAGAGGCAGCTGCAGTGGTCCTGTCCCTCAGTGTAAACAGCCTCTCAGTGTAAACAGCCTCTCAGTGTAAACAGCCTCTCAGTGTAAACAGCCCCTCAGTGTAAACAGCCTCTCAGTGTAAACAGCCCAGCTGCAACAAGAAGTCATAGCTGCATGAGGTCACATCATGTTGCATGTCAGCAGAGGGACAAGTTTAATTTTATAATTCAATTTGTGATGTTTTACCACAGTTTTAGTATTTTATGATCGTAAATATTTATTTTCTTAGATTACAATGACGTGTTACTTTGATGAGTTTAATCAGTTAATCAGTTAATTTTTCAGTTCATAAGTTGGTGCCTTAATTAAATTTTATGTTAACCTCTTTTGTTGGCCCAAACGACATTATTTTAAATTTTTGTAAATAAATAAACATTTTTGACCAATCTGTTGTGTCTCTCTCTGTGAACCCTCACACGTCTTCATGTAATTTTTGTTTACATTTTACTGATGTTTGTTCTCTGACTCACTGATTTGACACTATATACATTAAAAATAAGAGCTTTCATGGTGAAATACTTTTTTATTCTCTTAAATTGTCTTTATTTACATAGCAATAACACAAGGATTTATTCATATTTGTTTTATTGTGCTGTGAATGCACATGTGCACATGTGTAGTTACATATACATTTAGAAATACATACATATAATG